ATTGCACTCCCAGGGCTAATCAAAGACAATGAACATCCTGTATAAAACATGTAACTACGTATATATACAGAATATATAAACAAGTTGTTGCACCATTTTCACACTGAAGCAATAATACATGCAACTTTAAAAAAATGGAAGAAAATCCTCCCCAAATGGATAGGCATAAAAAGATATTGAAATCAAAGGGAGTTTTGGACATGCAAAGAATGCAGGAGTGAGTCCACAGGTATTGTACAGTATTCATACCCAGATTCTACAGTCCTTGCACAGACAAAACTCCCATTAGAGAGTCAATGGAAGCTTTGCCTATGCCTAGACTTCAATATTGGGTTTACAGAACACGGGATGTAGACAGATAGAGAGCCAGGTCCTGCAAGTAACTGAACACCCTGTTTCCATTGAATTCTACGAGACTTGAAGGACCTCATAGGATTAGGACCACTGTGAGATACAATGGGCCAAATTCTAAAAGGAGCTAAGCATGGGTCTCCCATCAAAGTAAATGGGACAAATCTTGGATTCATTCCTCATTGAACCACATGGGACTTTTACCTGACTAAGGACTGAATAAAAACTGAGCAAGAGGACTTCAAGATTTGACCCAAGGGAAGTTGAATGTCCTCTCACCTTTTAGGACATGACCACCTTGTTCTCACACTACACAACACCACTGGCTTCGTTAGGTTTGCATGACTATAAATGAGAACAGAATTTAATTCTCTTCAGGGTTACTCTTGACATGACCCAGAAGAGGAAGCTCAAGTGCTTTATAATGTCACCAGAATCTCAGAATTTGTCCTTGTTTTACTGCTGTTATTCTCAAAAAAATGTATGGTCCTTAGGGGGGAAAATAAGTATAATCTTGAAGGTATTTCCCTTGAAAAACATTCTCTCACAGAAAAAGCAATGAGGACTCTCTATCCTCCTCTGCTGGATTTTGAAAGATATTTGCTTCCCTTCCCTCTCTCCTGTCCCCCAAACTTTCTTTCAGTAGAAAATGAAATCAGAACTGATCTCCAAATTTAGTAAACTAAGATTCTATTCAGATGGCAAAGTAGGAGATGCTGAGTTTTTAAATGCACATTTTATAAAGCAATTCTAATCATTACTAATGTGGTTTCTGAATACTTTCTGTACATTCATGGGTGAAATACAGCATGAATGTTTGACAATAAAAATTAACTATATGCAATTGATTAATTTTGGCACACTACTTTAAGAGCCCAATTCTACAGTTCTGTGCAAGAGGAACCTTACATCTCACAGAGCCCCACTAGGGTCAATGGACTCAATGTGAGGATCCAATCCTGCGGGAACCGTGCAAGATTGGGCCCATAGAGTGCTATATAATTGCTAAATATTATTATCGGTATTGCTATTTTATTAGGTACACGAGAAAACTCATGAAAACCAGACTTTTGTAACTGGGAAATCTCTAACCAGGGGAATACCTAAACTAAAAAAAAAAAAAATTCTACTTGATTCTGTAACAACATCACAGCTCCTTGTTATGGAAATGCTTGAGATTTCACAAATTTCCACATCCAGACTCTTGCTGCTGGATGAAGTAGGAAGGAGGGAAAAAAGAGCTGTGAGACAGAAATTTAAAAAAAAAAAAAATCTTGGATGACTAGCAAAGCTAGGAAAGAAAATTAGGGAATAATACATGAAAAGCTAACAGAGTTATGGTGTGATTACATATATTTTCAAACCCCTCCTTCTCTTAGTATGGAAGTTCCTCTTTCACTGATCTCCCGACTCATTTCTAAATATTTCCTAACTGCCACAGATAGAGAAACTGGCTTCGTATCTGACCAGATGATAGTCACAAAAGGCTCTTCGTTCAGTCAATGTGTCCTGGCTGAATGTAGTTCCCTACCAGCTGCTCTTTCCTCTTAACCCTTGTCTCTGCTGGGACACAGTGCCATGTTAGAAAGCGTGCTCACAAAGACATTTCAACAAGCATGCTGTTCAATACAATTTTGCCCAGAGAGTCAACACATTTTTAAACACCATTGTCCATGTCCACACTAAGGGCGAAACTGTGTTGAATGTCGTTCTAGCTAAAACGGGTTGGTTAACATGTTTTCTGATACCATGTTTTTTCCCAGTATAGGCAAAGAGCAGATCATCAGCTGGTGTAAAGTCATCGGCACGAGGAGAGTTTAGAGCAGCTGAGTTCTGGACTCTGCTAGCCCAGAACTCAAATTCAGATCCCCCTGCTGTACAGTTAATTCATACTTTTCTATGTTCATGCACTCTAAAGACACCTGGAGCTTCTCGACAGTCACCTTTTGCCTTTACAGAAATAGAAAGAAATACAACAAAGAAATTAAGTTATTAAAGGAGATAGGAAACTTCATGGTAATAATTTCAGGCTAGATTGGGCCTTTAAAGTCAGCTGTGAGCCAAGGGCAGGAGTGCGGAGAAGGAAATGTACTCAGGAATAATTCCCCCAGAGCTCCTCTTTCCCAATGCAGGGAACTGAGTATGCTGCATCAAACCTTTACAGAAGATAGCACACTCCCGTCCCCTTTCTGCCTAGACGGCAGTGCTGGACAGCCTGTCAGGCAGAGCCATATGCAGTCTGTCTGTCCAATGCAACCATCCCCAAGATCTGCACCGGGACCCCATACTCTGCTGTGTAGGACCAGGGCACAATTATGTCCACCATAAGTATTTCTAAAGCACCCATCCAGTGGGACTTGCACACCATTCCCTAAAATTAGAAGGAAATAAGTTCCCTCAAAGAGGAGAGGTGAAAAAAATCCCATCTGTCCCCACACAGAGTGAAGGTTTTTACAATGTCCAGGGCCCAGTTCTGCATTCCCTGCACATTAAAGCCAATGAGAATTTTGGCTATGCAAGAGATGCAGGATCAGGTCCATTGTGACACGTGGAGTGAATGTTAAACATGGGATTTAGGATGGTGGTGGTCTCTGTTTTGACATTTATTTTGAGGATTTGGGTTATCCATTATATACTGCCTCAATGTGTGGTATGTTCCAACACGTGAAACAGACATCTGTTGCAAGGGAACAACCTGGGAAGAAACAGGTGGGGGAAATACAGGAATAGAAACACGGTATCCACTGCTCACATGCACCCCCCTTCCTCTCTGTGGGTCATTGATGTGAATCCCAAATCCACCCCTTCTCTTCTGAAGAAGGTAACCCACTTCTTTTCCTTCCACTGCAGGAGCCGGGTAGTTTCTTCCCATCATCAGAAGTATTCCCTTCACACATTGTCCCATTTAAAAGAGAGATTGGGCCAGATCCTCAGCAGATGTCAATCGGAATACACCTCTACCCCGATAGAACGCTGTCCTCGGGAGCCAAAAAAAATCTTACCGCGTTATAGGTGAAACCGCATTATATCGAACTTGCTTTGATCCGCTGGAGTGCGCAGCCCCGCCCCCTCGGAGCGCTGCTTTACCGCGTTATATCCGAATTCGTGTTGTATCGGGTCGCGTTATAGCGGGGTAGAGGTGTAGTTCCATTCAAGTCAGTGGCGTGACATCCATTCACAACAGTTGTGGACCTGGCTTTAGGCACTGAAATCTTTTCTACTGACAGGGCACTACCATGGTTCCCAAGGAGGAAAACATCTTGGGGATCATCTCTACAAACACAGGTATTTACATTCCGTAAGCGCCACTCCCTTATCAAAATGTGTTGTCTTCACAGGCATCTTAAAGATATGGAGGAAATATGTATCAGCTCGCTTTTTCTAGTGATACTCACAGAAGTAGAAGGCGAAGATAAGGAAACTGGCAGCCCAGTCCTCAGTAAAGTGGGGAAAGTGTCCCCAGTATATGCCACGCTCTCACACATCCCCTTCCAGTGTACGAATAAAGACACATCCAGCACAAGCTCATTTTGCCTCTAGGAGAGATTCCAGCTCCTTTCATCTCCTGGAGTTGATTTCAACATGCCTCTCGATAACTCATCATTCATGCCCATTAGTGACCCAAGCGTCACCTCGGCTGTTTGTGGTACATGCACAGAAAGAGCAACCATCAAAACAATGACACCCCTTCCCCACCCCCCCTGCTCCCCAGCTCTTCTGTTGAATACAGCACACAGGTCACTTTTTAATCTGCTGGTGAGGAGTAGGATGGAGTCCCTGGGGCTGTGACGGAGCAGCAGGGAGTGGAGTGTCATGTCCCAGCTGCATATGTGAATCCCCTCATCCCATCAAAATACAGCCCAATGTCTACTTGAGAAAGCAATCCACCCACACAGATCTTAACACGGAGAGACAGAGAACCACATGTATCAGCAGCACGGGGCTGCAAACATATATACACAGAGAAACAACCACACATAAACACACAAAGAAATACACAAATACACACATGCATCTAGCCTGTCTCACTGCTTGTGTCACTCATACACCCCCCCCACACACACACACACAAAAATCACACACGCACAGACGGAGTAACACAAACAGACCCACAACACACATACACACAAAGACATATACCTGCAAAGGCAACCAAGATACACCCCCACCCTCCCCAAACACAGCCACACAGAGAGAACTAGACATGGCAAATATTTACATGCATGCAAATCCAAACTCCCACCTCCCCACCCACACAAACAAACCCTTCTGTGTCCTTCCACAGCCAGTCTCAGAATCACCCCAGACCCAGTTACCGAGCCCCCTTTGTCCCCACATGAAAGGGAATTAAAAAAAATTAAAAAAGTTTGCTGTTGGGAAAGCAGGCGGGGGCTGCACCCTGACAGGTGAGGAATTAAAGGAACCCCCCCATCCTTACCCCCAAATCTGCCTCCAGCCTAGGGTGACCAGCTGTCCCGATTTTGTAGGGACAGTCCCGATTTTTAGGTCTTTTTCTTAGATAGGCTCCTATTACCCCCTGTCCCAGTTTTTCACATTTGCTGTCTGGTCACCCTACTCCAGCCAGTGCATCCCCGCGGCCCCCCGGCAGCCTGAAGCCCTGCAAAAGGAGCGAGCAGCCCCCGACTCACCTCGGGTACAGCCTCCCCTCGGTCTCTGTCTTGCCGGGGCTGCCCAGCTAGGAGTAGCGCGATCCCGGCAGCCCGCTGCCCGCAGCCCCGCTCCCCAGCCAAGGCATGGTGACCGCGGGGCGCCGCGGAGCGCCGCCCGCTCGCCGGGCTGATGGGGCTGGGCGCTCCTGGGGTGATGCCTGCCCCGCCCTCGCCTCCCGCTGCCGCTGCCCGCGGGCCGGGCGCCTCTGTTTGTTCAACACAAGGACCAGCCGGCCGGGCAGGAGCGCGCAGGCGCAGGGGAGGGGACCCCCCTAAGCGCTCGCTCCGGCGCGGGGAAGGCTCCCGGGGCTTCCCACCTACCCGGAGCGGAGAGCGGGGGGGCTGGCCCCCGCCAGAGCCCCCTGCAGCCCCGAGCCCGGCTCTCACCTGCCTCCAGCACCTTCCCTTTGCCTCGCAGGCAGCCCGGGAGCAATGCCGGGGAAACCCCTCCCTGCTTCTCCCCGGGCCCCGCTTGCACCGGGCAGTGCCCAGCCTGGGGCTGCACCAGCAGGGCCCAGCCTCCTCCCTCTGCCCCTTTCCGGGGGGGAAAGGGCCTTGGCGGGGCTTAATTTGTAATGAAAGAGGCGCAGAGGCTCAAGCAATTTTTTTTTACTTTCATAACTGACGTGGCAAGCCCAGAGGTGCCGGGGCCGGGAACCGCCAGACCCAGGGGCGCCGGGGCCGGGAACCGCCAGGCCCAGGGGCGCCGGGGCCGGGAACCGCCAGGCGCCGGGGCCGGGAACCGCCAGGCCCAGGGACGCCGGGGCCCGGAACCGCCAGGCCCAGGGGCGCCGGGGCCGGGAACCGCCAGGCCCAGGGGCGCCGGGGCTCGGAACCGCCAAGCCCAGGGGCGCCGGGGCTCGGAACCGCCAAGCCCCCGGCCCAAATTAAGCACTGGGGTCCTTGGCTAAATCCTGGATACTGCGAGGCTTGACTGAATTCGATTTAGACGGTTTGTCATTTTGACAGATCATATCGATGTTTGTTTTTAAGCGATTTCACACACGCACACCCCCACCGATTTTTATTGATTTATAAGTTCACAGTTGTGGGACGTCGGGGGGTGGGGAGGCGTCAGACAATGCACACTGGTCAGACAAGAACTATCAAATAACCGTTGAGTTGCAAAAGTGCTAACTTACAGTGCAGTGTCAATGTCACATGTCAGAATATACCAAGGAAATAGCCTTAAATCAAACTCTAAACTCTCAAACAGCATTGTTCTTGTTTTGCCTGTCTATTATGGATGGACGTATTTTTTCGTCAATTTGTGCATGTACAGTGAAATCGACATTTACCAGTAAAAATCGAATCCTCACAAGCTTATCTATGGCACCATATTTATTATAGGCAGTGTTGCAGCTATCCTGGCTCCCCTGCCCAATCAGTGGGGTTTCACAAGTACAAAATATAGCCAGGCAGCAACGCTGGGGAGCAAATGGAGCATGGAATTATCCCCAAATGATCCAGGAGTGAAAACTTAATGTTTGCAGCCCTGATCCTGCAAGCGGATCTTGACTGCCTGTTGGCTGGACCCATGTATAGCCCCTACCGCAGTCAATGCCTGCATGGAATTCAGTGAAGGTTCAGGGCCAATCATTGTAACTTGCATACAGATAAAAGGTGCCAGGCACTTTACTGAGTCTTTATAATGCATAGGACAATCAGGGCCACAATCAGTGTTATTGACCATGATATTTCCCAGGGTTTGCGGAGTCGGATTTTATTGTAATAAGAGATATAAAGGCCCCAATCCTGCAAGTCCTTCTTAACATGAGTAGCACTTACTCATACAAACAGTCCCATTGAATGAAGCCCGTGGGACAGTTCGCCTGAATCAAAGATGGCAAGACTCAGCTGCTGGTGTAGCATTTCTGAATCTTAAATACTTCATAGGGTTAAATAATATAATAATGACTTACACAATGTCCCTTGTGTTAAACTAAAATTTGCCTGCAGCCCACACACTCCTGCTATTATCATCCAAGAGAGGTGATAGAAAATGTTATTGATGCTTTAAAGAAACTAACTGCACATTATTTTCAGCTTCCCACACAGGTGGTTTTTGGTATGTTCCACCCGTTGGGTCTTTGTCCCAGAGGGAGGAAGGGTGGATGGTCCAGTGATAAAGGTGCCAGATCTTCCAAGTCCTTCAATTCCCTGCTCTGCCACAGACTCCTTGTGTGACCCTGAACAAGTCACTTAGCCTCTTTGTGCCTCAGTTGCCCATCTGTGAAATGGGGATAATAGCACTGCCCCACATGGGTGTGGCGAGGATAAATACATTAAAGATTGTGAGGCACTCACACATTACAGTAATGGGTGCTGTGTAGGTACCTAGCTCTTATATTGCACTTTTCCTCCATCGATATTGAAGTGCTTTACAAAAGATGTTGGTATCAGCCCCATTTTACACAAGGGGAAACTGAGGCACAGAGCGGTGACGTGACTTGCCTCAGTTCACCCAGCATGTCAGTGGCAGGGACAGAATCTAACCGAACTCAGAACTCCTGTGTCCCAGTCCACTGCTCCATCCTCAGGGCTTGTGAGTCCCAGTCTAGTGTTCTGTCCACTAAGCCATATTGCCTCCTACAATACCTTAGCCCGACAGATCTATCTCACGTTGTCTCAGATTGAGTAAACTGGTTTGGAGAAGAGCCACCCACTTTAAACCAAACCTGAACGTTTGGAGCTTCAGATACGTATCTTGTTTCCTATCTCCTCCCCTTTCACGGCTCTCTCATGTGGCCAATTGATGCCCCCAACCCCATCTGGATTACGGAAGAAATAACAGCAGAAAGCACAACAGCTCTTTCCCCACTCACAGCCAGCAGGACGTGAAGTGGAAGCAGTGCAGGAATCATAGAATCATAGAATATCAGGGCTGGAAGGGACCTCAGGAGGTCATCTAGTCCAACCCCCTGCTCAAAGCAGGACCAATCCCCAACTAAATCATCCCAGCCAGGGCTTTGTCAAGCCGGGCCTTAAAAACCTCCAAGGAAGGAGACTCCACCATCTCCCTAGGTAATGCATTCCAGTGCTTCACCACCCTCCTAGTGAAATAGTGTTTCCTAATATCCAACCTAGACCTCCCACACTGCAACTTGAGACCATTGCTCCTTGTTCTGTCATCTGCCACCACTGAGAACAGCCGAGCTCCATCCTCTTTGGAACTCCCCCTCAGGTAGTTGAAAGCAGCTATCAAATCCCCCCTCATTCTTCTCTTCTGGAGACTAAACAATCCCAGTTCCCTCAGCCTCTCCTCATAAGTCATGTGCTCCAGACCCCTAATCATTTTTGTTGCCCTCTGCTGGACTTTTTCCAATTTTTCCACATCCTTCTTGTAGTGTGGGGCCCAAAACTGGACACAGTACTCCAGATGAGGCCTCACCAATGTCGAATAAAGGGGAACGATCACGTTCCTCGATCTGCTGGCAATGCCCCTACTTATACAGCCCAAAATGCCGTTAGCCTTCTTGGCAACAAGAGCACACTGTTGACTCATATCTAGCTTCTCGTCCACTGTGACCCCTAGGTCCTTTTCTGCAGAACTGCTACCTAGCCATTCGGTCCCTAGTCTGTAGCAGTGCATGGGATTCTTCCATCCTAAGTGCAGGACTCTGCACTTGTCCTTGTTGAACCTCATCAGGTTTTTTTTGGCCCAATCCTCTAAATTGTCTAGGTCCCTCTGTATCCGATCCCTACCCTCTAGTGTATCTACCACGCCTCCCAGTTTAGTGTCATCTGCAAACTTGCTGAGAGTGCAGTCCACACCATCCTCCAGATCATTAATAAAGTTTTAAACAAAACCGGCCCCAGGACCGACCCTTGGGGCACTCCGCTTGAAACCGGCTGCCAACTAGACATGGAGCCATTGATCACTACCCATTGAGCCCGACGATCTAGCCAGCTTTTTATCCACCTTACAGTCCATTCATCCAGCCCATACTTCTTTAACTTGGCGGCAAGAATACTGTGGGAGACCGTATCAAAAGCTTTGCTAAAGTCAAGGAATAACACATCCACTGCTTTCCCCTCATCCACAGAGGCAGTTATCTCATCATAGAAGGCAATTAAGTTAGTTAGGCACGACTTCCCCTTGGTGAATCCATGCTGACTGTTCCTGATCACTTTCCTCTCCTCTAAGTGTTTCATAATTGATTCCTTGAGGAACTGCTCCATGATTTTTCCAGGGACTGAGGTGAGGCTGACTGGCCTGTAGTTCCCCGGATCCTCCTTCTTCCCTTTTTTAAAGATGGGCACTACATTAGCCTTTTTCCAGTCATCCGGGACCTCCCCCGATCGCCATGAGTTTTCAAAAATAATGGCTAATGCCTCTGCAATCTCATCCGCCAACTCCTTTAGCACCCTCGGATGCAGCGCATCCGGCCCCATGGACTTGTGCACGTCCAGTTTTTCTAAATAGTCCCGAACCACTTCTTTCTCCACAGAGGGCTGGTCACCTTCTCCCCATACTGTGCTGCCCAGTGCAGCAGTCTGGGAGCTGACCTTGTTTGTGAAGACAGAGGCAAAAAAATCATTGAGTACATTAGCTTTTTCCACATCCTCAGTCACTAGGTTGCCTCCCTCATTCAGTAAGGGGCCCACACTTTCCTTGACTTTCTTCTTGTTGCTAACATACCTGAAGAAACCCTTCTTGTTACTCTTAACATCTCTTTCTAGCTGCAACTCCAAGTGTGATTTGGCCTTCCTGATTTCACTCCTGCATGCCTGAGCAATATTTTTATACTCCTCCCTGGTAAAAGCTGGGTCTCCTGTTTTTTCCCTTGCACCTGTGCTCATGCAGATTTCTAACCTGCTTCTAATTTCAGGGAAGCTCAGCAAGGGGTGAGGTTTTGTTTGTGAGTGTGGGTGGTCATGTGGCTTTGATACCAGTCAGTTCTGGGTTCTTGGGGAACCAGGGCGCAGTATCTAGCCTGTCTGACTCATGAAAGACACCCCCCTCACAGACCAGTCTCTGCTTGAACCAAAACCCATCAGAGAAAAGTCTTGCAGAGAGAAGTGAAGGGCGTTGGGAGACACACCTAGACCCCTCCTGACAAGGGTGACAAGATT